ATTTATTATACCTGATAAGCTCGCATCTAGCTTTAATGGCTCGCATATACATATCTTTATGGCATGTTTCACTGTACTGTACGTTCTATGAATTCGGAATACCCTTTTTTATTGCCAATTGCTAGGTGTAGACGGCTAGTGTTCAGTTTGTTTTTGGACTGGTCATAAAGTGGCCAGAATTAATGGCAAAATGGCGTCAGCTTGTTTTGTTTTGCTTTTTCGCTTTTTCACTTGTTTTGTTGTGTTCGTTGTTATTGTTTTTCCTCTTTCTTTTTGCTTGTTGCGTTCGTTGCATACAAAAAAGTTTGTCGCTTTGAAGGTTGGCCTAGGCTCAAAAGACAATGCAACTGAAAATAGCCAGCGCAGTGTATGTGTGTGTGTGTGTGTTTGGTCTATGCGACACGTGCGCAAATTGTGCCCCAAAGTGTCATTTGTTATTTTACTTCCGGTCCGCCGCGACAGGATGAAAAACTGAAAAATAAAACACAAAAACTCGTGCTGATGGCATTGAAGATACCCTGCATCAAAAGGTTGTTTAGCTGGCATGGGTAATACGCTGGGTGTGCTCTGGTAACTATATTTATCGACAAACTAAAGTTGACTCGAGTGAGGCAAACAGGAAACCGACAATAATCAAGAATTTTGGACTTAAGGATACCCTGTAAAATATTTACTCAAATAAAATGACATACGGCCCATAAAATGTGAATACATTCATTTTGTGTTTAAATGGATAGCTCTGTTGCCCGTAAAACGTTTACGAATGTGACCCATGAGAATAAACATTAAATTGCTCTCGCGTGCCTTGATGCGAAAGAGTTAAAAGGGTGCCAACTCTATATGCAAATATGTATATAATATATAATAATAATATACATATATGCACATTAGTGCATTTTTAATTACTGTTTTAACTGTAACTCGACTGCCAGCAAATTATCCTCATCAGGTGTAACATTAAAGCTCTGCGCTGGGAAAGCTTTAAAGGCATTTAACACACACACACATACACACACACATGCAGACAGACATATATTTGAAGGCCATTCGGAGAGGAAATGCATTTTTTTTTTTTTGTTGGCCGTAGCTGTTGCTGAAAATCGAAGGCCAATCGAGACCATTCGATGGGTGGCAATCAGTGTAGTCCTCTGAGTGCTATTCGGGATTGAATCCCTTAACTCGTTTTGCGTGTGCTCTCAATGCCATTAGCTCCGTTCATGGTGAGGGCACTGGGCGATGGGGTGGTGGAGTGGCTGTGTGGCTGGGTGGTTGGTCAGCTAGCTGACCTCGAGCTGAATTCTACGCTTGGATTTAGCCACGCACTGGGCAACATTTTTTCGCAGGTGTCACGTTTTATTTTTAGCCCCAGCTAAAGGTACTCAATTGTTGGTTAAAATTCTGTGTGATATGCATGTTTATGAGCATGCAGAATGCCTAACATGCTTAAATATTAATGCCAGCAATTGCCATCAATTATTAAAGGACACTCACACAAACACACACTCGCGCTTGTATACATGCAGCTCCTGTGGTTACCAGTTGACTTTCTGTGTCTGGGGCATGTCAATTATCGTGCTCGCATTGCAAAGCCAACATGATAAACACATTTGTCACTGCCTTCGGGCAGCTGACAAACAATCCACTGCTGAGCACATACACACATATTTATATATGTATGATATATGTACATATAAGTACATATATACAGGCATAACATGTGTTTCCAAATGTGTTTCTCACCTTATTCAATCTGAAGACGCAACAAAGTCCTTTGTTTGCATTGAATCCTATTTTGGGCGCCAAGTCGTGGAAATTGTATATAGTATAAATATGTATATGCTAAGGAAGCTGTAGTACATGCGTATTTGTTTTGGTGATATTTCTTAATAAACCGAGCACGGGGCAACACAAAAAAAAACACCGGCAAAGAAGACAGGAAACACGCTTCAATTGGCTTGCGTTCTTATGGTAACTAAATAAAGTTTTCGACAACTGTTTTATATTGTATTTGATTATTTAATGCAGAAACGCGAACCAAATGCGACTATTTAGCACGAAGGATAAACTCGTTCTGTTCGCGTCGAGTCGCCTAACAACGGGCAGCTGACCAAAATCGAAGAGAGCTTTTGATTTTTTGCGCTCACAAAAGCTGCGCCAGCGAAACTTTCCTATTATCCTGTGTCACAATTTCTGCTCTGAAATTCCATGGGAAACTGCACAGCAGAGAGCTAGAGAGAGAGAAAGTGGGAGAGAGCGAGCGAGTGTGAGAGCAAGATGCGGAAAACACTGAGAGCAATAGCCGGCAGTGTGGGCCAGCAACCACCATAGACCACCCTCCGAAATAAACATCATCTGCTAAGCAGCATATCAACAATAATTTTGTTTTGTTCCGGCCGGGGTCTACTGTGTGTGTGTGTGCGTGTCTGTGTGTGTGTGTTGGTGTTTAGATATAACGCTCTATGCTAGATAAACAAAATATTAAGGGTGTGCAAAGAAATCATAGGGCGTTGAATGCTGTACACTGCTTTAAGAGCTCTTATCCTAGCAGCAGCAGCTTGACTTACTTTCGAATGTAACCAAAAGTTAGAGTTGAGCATTTGCCAGCTGCCAAATAACAAGTCTTTCGAGGTTTTAACATTAGTCTTAAAACATTACACAAAGATTTGCTTTAATTTTAACATATTGTAAGAATGTTGTAAAGAACATAATTAAACCTTAGTTTATAGGTAATTTAACTTCAACAATACTAAATTCCAAGATACAAAACAGAGATTCCTTCACTTTGAACGATAATCAATTATTTCATTGCCTTCCATTTCTTGATCCTTTGGCGTATCATCAGGTTCCAGTAGGTCGCCATCAAAACTAAAAGCAAAGAACATACTATATAAAATGCAAACATTAATAAAGTCTTAAAGTCATACAACAACTTGAAGTCCTGAACATCACATTCTAAATGTTCAGCACATTTGATGTAAAGTATCTTAAAAGTTTCTGTTTTTTTCATAGGTATTATCAATGGCTCCTTCCATTTATCATTTTGTATTTTCAATTGGAATTTCTTTGGCTTTGACATGAGATTAACTTCTTCCCTTTGTTGACTTTTATGCGATTTCATTGCGCGACCACCTGGGAAAAATAAAGTTATTTCATAGAAAAAGCATCCTTATATGAATTACTTCACTTACTCAATATGTGGAAGCCTCTTAGACCGATGCTTTGTGGAGAGTCCATTGCGTTTAGGAATACATCATCCATGTTTATAACAACTTCGTCCACAGGTACCTCATTGCGTTTCGAAACTTCCTTGAACATATGCACGAACTTTTGGTGTTGTCTCAGCTTATATACTTGCATATCACCGAGCCTAAAAGGAAAATACTGTTTAATATTTGATAAGGTAAAATTGGACATATGACTGCATACCAATTCAAATTGATATCAATAACGGGATTATCATCATCGAAGTTTGGCGCTGCTTCGGCGTGCTCTTCATGCTCTGTGGGACTCATTTCCTTATCCTCATCTGAGTCTAGATTTATCTATTTTTAAACGATATATATCTATAGAAAAACATACAATGTAGATCATTGCTTACTCACAAATCCTTCCACGCGTGGAGCAACAGCTGAAACCAGATCAATAGAGTCCACGACTCGGGAATAGGCCGCAACTTCAGCTGCTTGCCTCCGATTCCTTCTAGGTGGCTCAAATATGTTAGTCGGTGCCGTTGAGCTACTTGTGTCTGCATTCTGCGCTGAGGCTTTTTTTCCACGTCCACGCCCACGTCCCCGACGTTTGTTGGGCGGATCCACAGCTACAACAGCTGGAAGTACTGCAGTTTCCAATTCGTCTTTGTTCTTCTCTGGTGTGGTCTGTCGTTTGCCCAGGGACGAACGCGTGCGCCTTGCCACGGGCAAAGCTTCTATTTCTTTGTTTTTCTCCCTTTCCTTTTTTTGTTCCATCTCATGAATTAACTGCGAAACAGGTGACAGATCAACGCGAGTAATGGACGCCTGCGCCTCTTCCAGTGTTATGCCTGTTATCTCATCCGTTTTATTCATAGGTGGCTCCTCTTCTTTTGCTTGTTTTTTTCGTTTCCCCGATTGTGGTTTAGGGTTCGGCTTTATTGTTGGCTTGGCAGGTTTTGTAGCTGGCTTCTTTATAAAATCATAATCAATTTGTTTGATTGTTTCGCACTCCTCCGCGAACTGCTTTTGTGGCACTGCTGTGAATTCCAATTGTTTCATTCGGTTTACAAATTATAAGATTTAGACAACTATTTGCACTTACCGTTTAGCCGTTTAACTGGCATATTGAATATATCACAGTCATCGTCCGACATTGTGGGTTTACCCTTTTTTCCAAAATCGTTTAATTCTCTTTAGTTTAATAGAAATTCTTTGACATTAGTTAATGCCGCCAAAAGGGAATACACGGACGCCGCATAAAAGTAAAAAACTACGATTTAATAAATATCGACTATCGATACATTTACAGCTGGCGACTTATCGGAGCGCCAGAGCGAGAAAGTGAATGTTTAGTAAACATTGTTTACTAAACTCAAAAATGTAATGCCGCCAAACAAAAATATTTAACGACTATCGATAACTTTCCAGCTGACGGCAAGTCAGTGTGTGCACATCATTCAAGTAGAAAACAATGCTGAAGTGCGGTATTTATTACATTTGAATATGCATATGTACATAAAAATAGCTCAATGAGATTTGAAATTTTTATTTTAATTCTTATAAAATGCTTACAAATATATGTATGTTAGTTTTTTAAAAGTTCAACTTGATCTTCTTTATATGGTATTGCTGGATCCAAGCCAAAATTCATTTTCATAATATCACAAAACACAGATAGAAATATGAACGCATCCACAAAGTGACTGACTGTATTAAGTATTGAGCGATTCTTAGATTTGGCAATGCTCACAAGAGATTGAATAACTAGTAAAACGCCCGCTGTCACCTACATATAGAAAAAGAAGAGTATGACATTTATATACCGTTTATTATTTATTAGAAACCTTATAAAATATCGTTCATCATGTTTTACAATTTACATTAAATTCTATAATCTCATTTCTATGTCTATGGTACTTTAGCATGCTGATCGATGAGTTTTAGTGGCTGGGAGGAGTACTCGATACCGAACCCAGATATTATGACATTTACCACTGATATTACGAAGACGACCACCAATATGATATCGTTCAATATAATTGCTGCCGTCTGGTCTTGCTGCTTGTTTATATTCAGACTGCCGATAGCCACAAACAAAATTCCAACCAATAGCTGTTAAAATTAAAATTGAAATTGTTTTCTTTTTAGAGAGGGACGGATTTGGTCCAGGGTATTTCGATCAAAAGAGTCGGATGAGATGGGTTCATTTTATATAATTATTAATTTTAATTGACATCATTCAAAATATCGCCCTGTATCGGGGGCAGTCGAGAATCAAAAGCCGATATGAAAAGATTGACCATTGTGGTAAAAAACGCAAAGCCAGTGCGCACATGATTGATCACATTGGCCGATTGATGGAACTCTGGCTGATGCATTCGGCAGTCCCGCAATAAACTGAGGGACAGGCTTAGTACGCCAGATAGTATCTACGACATTGGAGAACGAGCCGTTACAACCCGAAAGCCAAGGCAAAGGCAGACAGTGAATAAAATATTTACCTGCATAACTATGGACAAGCTAATCAGTATTAGCATTAGCTTATAGAACTGATGCTGCTCCCCGACCTGGAGTATGTATTTCAGCTGAGATGCGTTGGCTGTCAGCAGCGCTATATCCAGCATGCCCTGGGCAATAGTTTTTTTGGTCGCATAGCGATTGGCGTCCATTGCCTTCATCTGAAAAGAGTTCAATTGGAATCAATTCAAATGGGATTTTTGCAATATTCTCTGTACACACAGCTGAAGCCATTTTAAAATATGTGTCTGTTTCAGTGGAGAGTCGAACTAAGTCTGATATGATTCTGGTCTATTTAGAGCATTTCAATGATTCTTATCTCTTTTCAATTGATCTGATACAAGTTGCACCTTGCTGATAAAGTCCAACTATCTAGTGACACCAATTAGTTAGAGTGCAAAAATAGAACTGAAGTAACAGCATCTAAACAATAATTGCATCCACATTGAAAGTCTGAAATAATATCGTACCTGCCAGGCATTTTTTACAGCACTCTGCAAGAGATAAGTGAGATATCAACTAAACTACTGTATACTTGTGAGCCCTCAAACAAAAAAGATTAAACAAAATAATTAAATTAATGTTAAGTACATATTAAAAGATTTTGCAGCTAACAAAATTTATATTATTTGAAGGCTTATAATTAAGACGCGGAAGTCAATGGGGTCTTTTTCAAGCCATTAAACAAACATATTTATATATTCAAATCATATTTATATATACAGTAAGCATAGACAAAGACAATAAGAGCAAAAGCTGTGAATTTCGAGAGTTCATAGAAGAATTGAGAAAAGAACCAGAGCTATCATATTTAGTATGAATATTCTATTCAAGTAAAGCAAATACATATATATAATATTTGCTGATTAGAATTTCCTTGCTCAATAAAAATATAATTGGGATCGTTTACTTAAAAACAAGCAGCTCTGTTGTACTGCAGAGTATCTATTAGTCGACTACTCCCAATTCCACTGATTTTGTTTATCTTTTTAACATCTTTTGGCTTCACAATTAGGTCAGAATATATAGTTTTAATAAACATTTATAATTTATAAACATATTGCCTTAATCAGATCCAATCAAACCATTGCAATGAAAACATATTTTGTTGAACAGTTCGAAACGTTTCTCATATATGTATGTATATATCTATGAAACATTATTGCCAGACAATCCATCAGGATATACAGTTTTATATAGATATCTGTATATATACAAATGTTAGCATACATGGTGAGAGTGGGAGAGATATATACGTTCCCATAAAGTTCTTCATATTGTGAATTTGTAATTGTGTTTTTTTTTTTTTAAATTATAAAATCAATAAAGAGACACGACAACAGGAATGAATAAATATTTAAGTGGCATAGCACATCTGAATTGTAGATACAGACATATGTAGTATACCTACAAATATGTACAGTAATATACACACACCTATGTATGTGCAAGGCTAACCAGGTATCATTAAGGTGCACTAGCGGTAATTACAGTAGAAACGATAATAAAGGGAAGTGCACTGTGTGAATTCACAGGATTTATTTTGAAGTAATTCGTTTTCTATGGATCTAATCTGTGTAACTGATTTGTCTTTGTAGATATTTTTGTTAGACTTGCCTCCGTCTCGTTGGCTCGTCCCTCCACCTGAGCCATTGTGAAGTTTTCAATGCGGTTCCACGTGGTTGCGTTTGCGAACTTAACAAATGACACAAAGCGAAGAGCTTCAAATCTGATCGAAGCTTTGTTTATTTTATTTTGCTCTTGCCCAATCCGCGACAATAAATTTCACAAAAAGTTGCAGCAGAAACAACTTTTATAACCGTTGCCATAGAGATGGTTGCCTGGAACACAACCAAGTGAATAAACAACTGAAAGCCAACTGAATTCATTTTGGCCAAACAGCGTCATCCAAGCGCGCAGCTGGCTCGAGAGCGCGAGAGACTGAGGCTGAGAGCGAGAGAGAGAGAGTGGCTCAGAAATGGGTAAGCGTATGACTAATGAGTAATCGTAACTATATACCTTAAGATACATTAGCACAACATTTGACTTGGCCTGCGTTTAATATAAATTAAAAAAAAAATATTTTATTTTTTTTTTTTAGTTTTTATTTGTTTATCTTTTTTCTTATATGCTGCGAAAGCAAATTTCAATAAATAGCATATTTAAATACTTTGCGCCTATTTATGCATAACATACACATGCAAAATTAAATCAAATTTTCTTTTTAAGGGATAGTTGATGTTAGCTGACACATGATTTTTGATACAGAGTTTAATAAGCCTTTTACACATAGCGTTTAAATGGTTTTAAACAAACTAGAAAGTCTTTCTGTGCACGGCACGTTGGCCCTCCTCCTCGAACTCTCGCTTCGATACCCACATCTTCTTGAAGGTATCCAGCGATGCCAGAATTGAGCCGCCCATCCACGTCGAGTATAAACGTTCCTGGGGTGCAGCAATCTAGACCAAAGCAAATACAGATATCAATATACAACTCTAAATTATTCAGATATATATTTATATTTACTCTGATTTTCAGATCCTTTGCTGAGTGTTTTCGCAGCTCGGAGAGGAGACGATCGCCGAAGCCTTTGAAAAGCGTTGAACCACCCGACAGCACAATGTTCTGATAGAGCATTTTTCTGAGATCCATATCCGACTTTTCAATGGAATACATTAGCACATCGTGTATGCCCTCGCACTCCTCGCCCAGCAGATCGGGCCGGAAGAGCACCTCGGGCGCACGGAAACGAGCCTGTCCAATTTCGAATGTCTTGCCATCTGGTAATTTATAGGCGAACTTTTCAGTCTCCACAGCCTCCTCTTTTTGTGGATTGGTCGCCAAGTAGCAGACCTTCTCCTTGATCGACCGCACGATCTCAAACTCGGCTGTCGAACGGAAATTGAAGCCCTCTCGGCGTATGAGTGTTTTCAGGTAGCGTGTCACATCCCGCCCAGCGATATCCACACGCATAATACTGTGAGGCATGGCGAATCCTTCGTAAATGGGAACTGCATGCGTCACACCGTCACCCGAGTCCAACACCACGCCCGTTACACGGCCCGTAGCATAGCTAATAATATTGAAATTATTTAAATACAACTTTTAAGTTTAGTTTAACTAGGCTCTTACAGACTGAGAACTGCCTGCATGGAGACAAAGAGCGCTGGCGCATTGATGCCTTCGAAAAAGAACTCAGCTGCCTTTTCCCGATTGCGACGCGGATTCAATGGTGCTTCAGTGAGTAGAACTGGATGGTCTTCCGTAAACGTTGCCAATTGTTCCTGAAGTAAATATATGTATGTTACTGCAACATCTGCCGGTCATGAAACTTTTACGTTACTTACTTTACTATATATATAGCTCCATATGCGCTCCATATCGTTCCAATCCGTCACGATGCCATGCTCCATCGGATATCGTATGCTAAGCAAGCCGCGATGCTCCTCCGCCTTGGGACCAACAAAAATGTCGCCCTCCAAGGCGCCGGCCATTACCCGAACATGCTTTGGTCTGCCAATGCTAAGATGAAAGCATGATTAACTACATTCAGCCTTGCACTGCGCTGCACCAGATACTCACTAGTTGGGAAACCTGCACTTTGGAATGTGCTCGCCAGCAAAGCCGGCTTTGATCACACCGGAGCCCTGTAAAGGAAATCATTTTGGGTTTTATACAGACTGGCATTCATTCAAATTTAACTTCACACGCGTCAAGTTTGTTCGTTTCTGAATTGTTTTGTTAAGCATTTTCATAAAAAGGGCAAATCATGGATACCCGAACCATTCCTTTCGTGGATATGCTAGCCGTGTCGAAGAGTTTGCGTGTTCAGCGGAAGCCAATCTTGAAATTTGTACCACAGATGGGTCTGTCGTTTGTCAACTACGGAAGTCTGGGCGAGATTGATACCTTCTACTTGGATTGCCAGAACTATAGGGATTATTATCGTGATCCTTTTGAGAAGATGCGTCGTCCTGCGAAGTTTTGCCAAAACCAGGGCAGGTGTGGCACTCGACCGGATCGCACTGTTGAGGCACTCAGTGTGCCCGGATCTTGGGTGAAGGAACGCCCTCCGGTTGTGTATTCGGAGAAATATAATCAACGTATGAATCTGAGTGGAAAGATTAATATCGATGCCCACTTCTCACCCAACTCGGTTACAGTGTTCAAGCGCTGACTGCGACATTATTATTATCTTGTACACTTCTTTTGGCAACTTGAAGTAAATTGGGCAAAAAAGTCTAGCTTTTGGCAAATTAGTCATTGCCCATACATAAACAGTTGCGACTACTGCTGAAAAAGTCGATGGACAAAGGGACGGGCAGTGGCAGCTTGGCTTATTCGTTCGTGTTAGTTGGTGATGTCACTTGTCAGGCAAAAAGCCTAATGTAGCTTATGTGGCAATTGATTCTAGTTGGGCTCTGATTGATATTTTATTGCAAATTTTACTTACGTTATCTATGACCACAGGCTGATTGACTACGACATCATAGGGCTCCATTTTGTGCGTTTATAAAACAAAGTATTGCAAATTTTTCCTATAAAATCGCGGTGTCGTGAGCGGTGTGACCGCGTTTCGTATGCCGTATAATACCAAATAGAAAACTGGTTAATTTGAAAGATACCAGAGTGTTGGGTGTGCCTGTGCAAAAATTAAATCGTTTCTTGTTGCACATATGCTTAAGTATTTTAATTCTAGTATCTGCTATATAATTCATAAATTATATATATTAGATTATCACATACAACAAGTCTGCCTGCTTGCATTTAGCTCGTTCAATATCTTCGAGCTGCGTACTTGGCATGACTATCGATACAATTGATCGTGCAATCGATTATTTGTAGTTTGTTTTTCTGTTTTCTTCCAAGACAAGAGTTTTATTACTATGGCTGCCTCAACAAATCCTGAGAAGAATTCAGAGCTTAAGCCGCCTCCTGGGCTAAAGTCCTTGATTGATCACTTGAAATCAGTCTATCCAGATCAACCGAATCCTCTGCAAGTGACGACACTGCTTAAGTATTGGCTGGGTGGCTCCGATCCCTTGGACTACATAAGCATGTACAGCAACAAAGGGCAGGGCGAAGGCGATGCAGAGCGAATACCACCGCATTGGCATTATGTTAGCTTCGGACTCAGCGATCTGCATGGCGATCAGCGCGTTCACCTGAAAGAAGAGCACACCACACGTTCAGGCATGGGCTTCGAGCTAACATTCCGGCTGGCTAAGACAGAGGCTGAGCTGCAAAAGGAACGGGAATGTCCGGATAAAGCACTCAGACCGCCCACCTGGCCTGCAAATCTGCTGCAATCAATTGCGCGCTATTGCTTTCAAACTGGCAATGGTCTTTGCTTTGGCGACAATATTCCTTGGCGCAAGGGATTGGATGGCAGCATCGATTCACGAATGCAAAGCTTGCTGGTAGCACAGGATCCGCAATTAGGTTCGATTGACACGCCTTTTGGCACAGTTGACTTCTGCCAAATAGTTGGCGTTACCGAGGAGGAACTGGAGCAGGCCTCACGCTGGAACGGCCGTGGCGTCTTGAATTTCTTGGCTAAGGATGTGCAGACAGGCGGCGAATGGCTGGTTACCAACATGCAGCGCACCATGAGCGTGTTCGAATTGTTTCCCGAGACCTTGCTAAACCTCCAGGACGACCTGGAGAAACAAGGCTCTGATTTGGCTGGCGTTAATGCTGAGTTTACATTCCGTGAGCTGAAGCCAACCACAACAATTAAGGAGGAAGTAGACTTTCAATCTCTGAACGAGAAATGCGCCAGCGAAGAGAACAATCGGCCGTTGACAGAGTCACAATTGAAGCGCGAGGAGCCGAGTTTCCCCCAGTCCATGTCGATGAGCAGCAATTCGTTGCACAAATCATGTCCACTAGACAATCAGCCTCAGGCGCCCGACTGCATATCGCTAGATGGCATTGAAATAACGCTAGCGCCCTATGCGGCCAAGTACTTACTGCTGGCCATAAAGGTAAATACGAAATGGTGGTAGATTCAATATCTAAAATGATCAAATGCATATTTTTCTTTTCAGGATCGCATACGACACGGTCGGCATTTCACGTTCAAGGCGCAACATCTGGCTTTGACTCTGGTCGCCGAAACAGTTACGGGCGCTGCTGTTAGTGTGAGCGAACCCTATGGCGTGCTTGGCTATTGGATACAGGTGCTGATACCAAATGATCTAGTGCCGCGCATGATGGAGGCATTTCGCAATTCACAACTCGATGGCAAGACGGAGCCAACGCAACGTCTGGAATTCGATTGGCCCGATAAACACTTTAAGCTAATTGTAGATCAGCCGCCCTGCCCTCTGGTCCCCACGGCCATGTCCATTGAGGCGGCGCCTGTGAATTGAAGAGCGACTGTCAAGCCTAATTCTTAGTATTATAAATTTAACTAAACTGAATCTTCCACTAACACGTAAGTCTTAAACTTTACTATTATATCGAATATATTATATAGTATATTGTACACACATTTATGCGAAATAAAACTCAAAAAGCATTTCATCAAAGAAAGGCGCCACAATCAAACTCATCTTGATGAGTAGCCATGTCTGGCAAAGCATCTGCTTCTGCTGCTGCTGCTGCTTTGATGTGTGGCTATCATAACGGACATGACCAATTTGTGGTACAAAACGAAAGTGTCTCAGGGTTGTGCTTCAGTTTTCAATTCTGCGAATTGAAATCAATTTAAAATATTTCGGAATGAAAAACAGTCGCGATAAAAATTCATTGATACATTGGCTGCACAACAATTGATCAAATGATTTAGGCGAATTCAAACGGATGCACCTCAGTGATAGACACTGCTATATATGTGCATATCATTTGATGACTTCTGTTTTCTCTCTTTTGATTATTTATTTACTTTTTTTTGTGACCATCTTCTTCGCGTGGCGGTTGCCAACGCAACCGCAAAAGCAGACGCAGCCCTCTTCAACGCCTCGTTTTGTTTACTACTGAGAACGCTCACAATCACACGTTGTACGTCTCCGATTAGGTGCCTCGTGAGTAAGTGACAAATTTTTGCAACACAAAAAAAATATATATACAGAAGAAAAAAGCTGCTCGTGGAAAATAATTGAATTATTTTTCATTCCGTTGCCGGCAACGCAAGCGCTCGGTCGTGTTCCTCTGCTCTACTCTCGGCTATCAAATCGACTGCGTCTAGCAAAAGCCACAGCCAGAGACGGCGGTACGCGCCATCCACTCGCCCAGGGGGATCTACGAGACTTCGTGCAACTCGACCATCGGCTGCATTTAAATCCATTGTAAGACCAATTGCACTAAGAACACGTTTAATTGTTACCATTATATTAGGTTGATTCATTGCGTAATCATGAGCACACTTCGATTTCTTATTCAAATTGAGACCGCCCCCCGCTGGGCGACGCCTGCGTCCAACACGTGAACATTGATAATGCAAACACAAAAACAGAAACATCAAATAGATTTACTACTTTATAGTCTAGAATGTACATATATCGCATTATAGTCGACTTTGACTTTGTTTTCGGCAAAACTTCTCTTTTGTTTTGCTCTCTTTTGTTTTCTTCTGTTTTGGTTTTGTTTTGCCCACATTTGCATGTAATTTGTCAGCGTACAAATTCTTGCTGACAAAAGTGAAATTTAATTTATATATATGCATGCATATACATTTCAATTTATATGCTCATATTAATATATAAAGTGTGTAAATTTCCATTAGTTCCATCCGTGGCCAGAAGGCATTCAATATAGAAATTTATATCAATAGCAAATTGATGTTGAGTGAAAAGGTTTGCAGCCTTAGGCTTAAATCAATGTAGAAATGCACATGCACCTGCATATGATTCATATTTTCTATAGCATATTTTGTTGTAAACTAATGCTTACACTGTTTAACAAATTTATTCTTTCAAGGGAGCAAAAACAAAAAATTTAGTGCAACGTGTCAACAATTTCCAATTAATCTGAAGTGAAAGTTTATAGTAGTATTCCAAGACTTAGTAAAACAGAAGAGCACAAATTTTTAACCAGCAATATATTCTTGCTTGCTCTTAGCCAAGTCAATCCGAATCTGAAAGTACAATATATCTTTTATCTTGAAGATTAAGCATTTTATATTCTCCAAAGTGAACATATATGTGTATGATTTTTCTAAAATGTTGTTGCTTATATACTTATACAGTTCTATAAAGTACGTATATAATTTATACGTACACTTACATTTTTTTGGTATTCAAAGCTTTTATAATCATATTCTCGAGTTCTTAGTTAAAAGATTTAGAGTCAAAGGCAAATCCAAAGCAATGAGAAAACTCTTTGAAGGTATCGCTTATTCTCTATAGCCTAGTTCTATATACAAAGTGAAAAATTAAATTCAGATTTCTTCTAGTTCCTTTCTCTTTTAAAACATTATTTTAAGTCTAAATTGTGTTCCACAATAGAAAATAGGCAAAGAAAATGAATGCGACAACAGAGCAGAACAAAGAACTTGTAGATAAAATGTAGAAATATATATTTTTACTATACTGATTATTATACTAAATTAATATATTTGCCTATACTGTATTTTCGAAATATACGAAAATAAGATTAAATAAATTGTAGAACGCAGTTAACATAAACAACGTTGTCAAAAAATATTGCTTAGCCACGCTTTCAGTTTAAAGCCAAGAATGTGCCAGCCACGCAATCTGTTCAACGACTGAAATACTTGAAGTTCAAGTGCATTCGAGTCCATTGCATCCACATAGTGGCAGTGTCACAATTGTAGTTGTAGTAAGCGCGTCGTGCAAATAATGATAATTACAATTAAATCTTAAATCGTGTCGGTTTATGGTTCAGCAGCTGTTTGAGAATCCGTAGAACTTGCACTGCTTGGCCATAAACCGCATAGTCGGATCATATCAGATAGTGCCGGAGACGACAGCGAAAACGACAACGACGAGCGACAACGCGACGCGATCTGTAATCAGTTGAAATTTCAGAAACCACACGTTTTTTACATCTATGGCGGCAATGGCCGAGAGTGAGCCGCTAGACGGATACGTTAGCCAGCCAAACGGCCGCATTATCAGTGCCGAGGAGCGTGCCAATGGACACGCATTGAAGACCAGCAACGGTCAAGTTCATCGAGCCGCATCGAATGGCAAGATCCAATCGAATGGCATGCAAGAGCATATCGAGGCGCCCTGCTGTCGAGATATACACGGCAAGGAGCCGCCGGATGGCGGTGCTCGTGCCTGGCTGGTAATGGTTAGCGCATTCCTATGCAACGGCGTCATCTTTGGGCTAATCAACACATATGGCGTACTTCACAAGCTGCTAACGGAGCGGCTGACCGCCCAGGGCGATGCGGAGGCCAACAGCAAAGCGGGTAAGTCCACGTGTCAAACGGCACAAACAACTAAGGGCGCTGCAGTCGGCAGTGCTCGACTAGAAGATACCCCGGCATTCGGGCAGCTGATAGTCAAAGCATTTAAATAGACAACCGAGTCCTTTAAATTTGATCAGAATTATTTACATAGATTATTTGTTTGCTATTTGTCTGCTACACATATCTGGCCATAAACAATATACCCCGTATACCCATTACCAATGTGCTTGGGGCATTAACACAAAAGGGTTGACTGCAATCAATTTGCGCTTGGGCCTAATCCCTACCGAGCTGTGCCAAAGGCAAATTGATTCGGAAATCGTGACAATCCACGATTGAAAGCAATTATGCAGAAAGTCCAGCACTGATTAGATGAGAAATTAACACTTGTCATAGGCGTACGCCAAACTGGAATGGGGTATATTGTTATTAGATGAGAATTTGTTATCAAAGGCTTGACTAGACTTATATAGATGTATGTATGTATAGAGTTGTGTAAGCCAGCAACATTGATTTTCTATTATATTAACATAAATTTAATTATTCCCGCAAACTAGATAAATGGACAAATATACTACTAGTTAAATAAATAAATACTAGTTTGATAGCTAAAGAATCTCGTTTTAAATAATTTTACGGCCATTTTTACAGCAATCAAATTAAGAGCGAGCATTGGCCAGTCACTTTTTTTTTAGAGTGTAACATTTCTATTTATTTGTCAAATGACACCGAATTGACAGCATTCCGCATTGTCGACTAATTACTTGCGCTACATTTATACGAAAATGTTTACAGATTTACGACCCTGAATATTTACATATGTGATAACGAATCTCTGTGCATGGGCAGATTTAGTTATATGCTTTAATTTATGCCTAGCAAGATAGGCAGAATACAATATTTAAATATATATATATATATATATATATATATATATATATATATATATATTTGATATATGTATGTATTTATAGAAATGGATTGCGCATTCCCAAATGAATATTTGTATTTATACTTGCACATTACTCATATATACATATATATTATAACGTTATCAGACAAAAAATAATATTCAAAGATCTTTTTTATTTTTATCAGAATTTAAATTGAAAACGAACAAGCTCTGAAATAATATGCTGAAATAAAACTTGAACTAAAACAATGCTTATAATCTAAACGTTTTCATCAAAAGGCCTAAAACATAATGTGAGAAGATAAGAATATGGATGATAAGGGTCATAAGCAGACATCTCCTACACATGATCATGAATTAGATATACTTGAGTGTTAAGCACTGTTTAAATTGCGTATTTGACTTAAAAATATTATTTTAAATATGCTAGCAATTCGGCTTCTGTGATCAATTTTCTGCATTCAAATTTCTATAGAAATTATGTCTATGTGGCGGAAATTCGATCGATGCTCGCTCCACAGCGACTATGGAATATTCTATTTAGAATGTAGACATGCTCGACATGTGTCCAATTGTATCGTATGTAGGTGCCAACATATTAATTACCAATTGATTACAAATTTATTTTTGCCGTGCTATTGACCAAATGCTTCATGGAGGAATGTGCGATTCAAAAGTTGTAAGAGCTGCGGTCATACGAGCCGAAGAAGTATTTCTATCCAAGCTTGAGTTCAACAAAACTTAGCGCATGTTAGTGCCGACAATGTACGTGTGTGTGTGTGGATGTGTGTAGTTGTACGACGTCAAGTGAATTAAATTGCTGAAAGTTTATTGGATCACAAAACGTTATTCAACACCGCGACGGCAATGACGATGTCAAGTCGCTGGAGTCGATGAGAGTTCAAAATTGAGCAGAAGAGAGCAAAAGGTCGTTTGCTGCGAATAATTTTGCGTGCTACGCACATGCACACACACACACAGAGAGAGTCTAGAACTAGTGCATATTTCTATTGGTGACGTCTCTCAGAGAGTTCAATTGGTTTAAGATTTGTTTGTCAAGGTTCCACGTTGCGTATACGCCGCGTTTGGCGCCTGTATGGAGCAAACGCTTGGAAAGAAGACCAGTTGCATGGGCCAAAGACAAAAGCCGACACCAAAGACGACCCGGCTGAGCATAATGGGCACAATTGCGTATGCCGCATGCCGTATGCCACATGCCGCATACCTCTTGCCACATGCCACTGACCCAGTTACTTGCTAGACTGGCGCTGGGAAGCCCCACAACTGGCGGCGCTTGACAGCGATCCTCCAACGGGCGAGAGCTGGGCTAGCCGTTGACTTGGTTGAGTGGCATTAGTTCCGCCATATGATTAAAGCTTCACGTAATCCGAGTCCAAGCCGTCACATTAGGAACCTGTCAGAGCAGTCAAATAAGCCGACCTCTTCTATGAATATATATATATGTATATACTATGTATATAATCTGAGCTAATCAAAGGTTGAGTGTGCCGTATAGAAGAATTGATAACCCTTTAAACTTATTGAAATTAAACGCCATTTCATTTAATTCAGGTCGATCACCCTATGATAGCGACGCTTGATGTTGACGTCATTGTTTTATATTTTCATGAATGAAATAACAATATTTATATTTAAAATATTTGCATAATTGTGTATTAGAACAAGTAAAAAGAGACAGAATTGAAATTATTTGTCTTCAACTAAATCAAAGATGATAATGATCTTTGATGTTTCACTATGTTAGGCAGA